TTGATAGATGTTTGATGTATCCTTGGAAATCCTGTGTGTTCCTCTGTTTGGGGAAGATCCACTTAGTATCTGGTTGTGGTAAATTTTTCTATATCCTTGTTGATCTCCTGCTTTCTTGTTCTACCAATTCTAAGAGAAGAATGTTGGAGTGTCCAACCATAATTGTGGGTTTCCATCTCTCCACTCAGCTGTGTTCATTTATGCTTCATATATTTGAAGATGTGATGTTAGGCATATATACATCTATGACTGCTGTGTCTCCTCGGTGAACTGATCCTTGCTGAGTTGACATCATTGTGTTCTTCTTTATCCTTGGTAATTTTCCTTGCTCTGAAGCCTATATATATGATATTATCCACTCCAGCTTTCTTTGGATTGATGTTTTCATGGTATAACTTTTACATCCTTTAAATTATGTTATTATATTTAAAGTGGATTTCCTGTAGATAGCATAGAGTGAGGTCTTGTTCTTTTATCCATTACTACAATCTTTGTCTTCCAATAGTTATATTTTTACTGTTTTTTTAAAGAAACAACCATTTTTGTGGGTCATGAAATCAGATGGTGCAAAGTGAGATTGCTTAGTGTTACTCATTTTGTGGCAAGGTTCTCTCAAATGGCTTCACTTACACGTATGTAGACCAATTATTTTATGTAATTACTGATAGTTTGGATTTATGACTACCATTTTATTATTTGCTTTTTATTTTCTCTGTTTTTCATTCCGTTTCCCCATATTTTACTTCTTTTGGATTGTTTATATATTTTTAATATTCTATTTACTCTGCCTGTTACATTTTTTTTACTATATTCCTTTTTATGGTTTTTATAGTTGCTGCTCTAGGGATTACAATATCCCATACTTAACTTTTCATGTCTACTTAGAATCAGCGTTTTGCCAGTTTGCATGGAATGTAGGAATTTCTCCAGCATACAGGGTCCTTTATGCTGTTTTAAGTATGGTACACATCACATTTATCGTTGTAGTTTGTCAGAACTGCCAAAACGAAGTACCACAGACAGTGGTGCTTAAACAACAGAAATTTAACAGAAAGGCTTTGTCTCATAGTTCAGTCTCGGTGGGCCTTTCCAGATCTGTTCCACATGTTTGCCACTTAGTGACCAGTGTGGGACCTGAGCAGTGGTCCTGTATTTCAGTTCTCAGAGACTTTGATTCTGTTTTTAGGATCATATCCACGCCCACAATGTGGCTTGGAAATGAGTCCAAGAGTTGGCAATTTTATGACTCATTTTCTTGTGGTCTCCTTTCTGCAATCTCCCCAGGTGTTCCTCTTTTCATTTTCTGATGAAAAGTGAGGTTTTTGGTTCCCCTGCTTTGCTGAGCATATTCTGAAAACTGCATTGGCTTCTGAGGCCAAATGAGAGATTAGAGAAATAAGAACAGCAACAAGGACTCTCTCCACACTCTTGAAACAAAACTTTCTTTGATCTGAAAGAAGAGATCTTTTTCCTTGTAATTTCAGGTGCTACACAATTACTGATGATGTCTCAGCCAATGCAGCCTAGGGATTGCCTGGGGACTAGGCAGAACAAAATGGAAAAAACAAAAACAAACACCTCAAAGCCCAGAAGACTTTCGTACCTTTTCTAATTCCCAGGGCTTCTTTCTGTTCCCAAACAGTGTGCAGGGCCAGTTTGCACTATCTTTGAGTACAGAATGTGGGGTAACATATGATATATGCATGTGTAGATATACAGATGTGTTATTATATATATATTGGGGTTTGAACTCAGGGATTCATGCTTACTGGGCAGGCACTCCACCATTGGAGTCATGCCTCCAGCACAACATATGTATATTTAAATGGGAGAATTACTGCTGATTCACTGGCACTTCAAGTTCTCATTTCCTTCTCTAATCTGTCTGCTACTGTTTAGTTTTCAGGGTCTGTAGATAGTTGCTCCAGGCATGCTGTCCCTTCAGTGAGAGAGAATAAGTAGAGTATACCAGTAGCCTTCACAAAAACTGGAAATTGTATTTATCTTTTTAGGGTGCAGATCACAATGGGATGGATTGTCCTTGGAAATGTGATCTAGTGCCTTCCACTTTTCCTGCTTATCTCTATATGAAGTAAAATTTGTGTACTATCCTTTTAAAAAGCTGAAATATTCAAAATCATTTTATTGGTCTTAGAACATTTTTTCAGCAAATTTTCTTTCAATGTCTTTCCCTAAACTATCATGGCTTTAAAATCTTTCTTATTATACCAAATTCACAGAAAATTGGGGTTCAGGTTGCACTAATTATGTAAGTAGTAGAACATATATCCAAACTTCAATCAGTCTACATCTGAAATCTAGGCTCTCCCAGCTATGCCACACTGCTCCCATCTTTTTGTAGACCTATGAAATATGCGCTGTGCTAGGCACTTTTATATTCATAGCAAAAGGGGGGGCTTCTTGTATTTCTTTTTTTTAATATCCATCAGTGGACCATAAGGATATCAAACTTTTACATCAGAACCTAAAACTTTGAAGTGATGATACTATGGTATAAATTATGTTCAAATATTTTTTTCTGAGAAGATAATTCTACCAAAATCAAATTTTCATGTGTACAGAAATAAACTACAGCTACCCAGAAAATTGTGCCACTTGGCATGGTTTCATTATCTGGAATGACCAAGCTCCTAGAAGTACTCTACTGCTGAGATTTTTATAGGCTGCTAATGCTGAGAGTGGATTTTCACAAAAATGATAAAACATGTGACATATTACATATATCAATTAGCTATTTTACAATCTATATAAATACCTCAAGACATTATGCAATAAATACATATAATTTTATCTGTTGATACTTTAAACTTAAAAAATTACTAAAATATTGTACATTCTTTTTTGCATATCAAGTATTTAGAATCCAATGTCTATTTTAAGCAGAGTATACCTCAGTCCAAATACTAAATTTTTATCAGAAATGCTTGCTCTGTATTTAGATTTCATAAGATTTATGGCTTAAGAAGTAGATTCACATGCTCAAAATATTCCAAACATACTTGAAAGATTTCCAATGAGAGAATAAAATACCCAAAATTCATTTTTATGTAATATTCAAATTCCCATTGACAAAACTGGTTCATTTCTTTAGAAGAATTGATTTGATTTTGAAACTAAAACCTATCTGTTTCAAAGCTGTCTTATTCAATTTTGTTAAGCTCACTAACTCTTGTGTCAACATTAATATCGACCTCAAAGGAATGTTACATAAATCACTATGCAACTCTAAATTATCAACACTAACAGAACAGTCTTCAAATTTTACTTGCATTTTTCAGTGAGTTGTAATGCTATCAATTTAAAATAAAACCTGAATATTGACTTATTTTAGAAAAACGTGTAAAATAATAATTATTGATTTGTGTAATGAAAAGTCATGAGCTGAATTATATTTACCTCAAATATTGGAGTCCTAGCCCCCTAGTACTTCAGAACGTGACTCCTATCTTGGAGATAGGATCTCTAAGGAGGTAATCAACTTAAAATGAGGTCAGGAACGTGAACTCTAATCCAATATAAATAGTATTCTTATAAAAAAGATAGGTTTGTGGGCCAGGCATGGTGGCTCACATCTGTAATCCCAGCTAATTGGGAAGCAGAGATTGGGAAGATAATAGGTCAAGGACAACCCTGGCAAAAAAACTTTAGCAAAATCCCCATCTCAACCAAACAATCTGAGCTTGGTGGTATGTGCTTGTAATCCCAGTTAAGTGGGAGGTGGGGATCAGGAAGCTCACATCTCAAGTCTAACCTGAGCAGAACTGTAATACCCTATCCAAAAAATAACTAAAGCAAACAAGGGCTGGGGGCATCATCCAAATAGTACAGCTAGCCTAGAAAGCACAGGGACCTGCTTCCAATGCCAATACCACCAAGAAAAAATAGTTTGGACATAGAGAAAATGTTATGTGAACAGCTATAGGGAAAAGATGATCATCTTGTAAGCCAAGGAGTATCTAAGGCAAAGAGAAGCCAGAAGAAAGCCTGGAACAGATCTTTTCCTAGCTACTTCAGAGGGACCATGGCTCTGCCCACACTTGATTTCAAACTTCTGCCTTCTAGATCTGTTATAAAATGAAGTTTTATTGTTCTGAGCTATCCAATTTGTAGTACTTTTTAAAAGTAGCCTCAGGAAATTAACACAATACTTATAGAACCAAGACAAATAAGCTTTTCCTTTCTTTAGAAGTTCAGATAGAGCTTTTCCATATGTGTTGTGATACTGATGAGAAAACATAACCACACTGCCAGATTTTGTCTTTGATTTCTGAGAATTTGGTAAGCATTTCGTTTTAATAAAATCTTGAATTGGAATTAACAGTATAGGTCTTCCATCATGTAACCAGTGGGGATTGGCAAAGAGTACTAGATCAACAAATTTGTTATCTTTTTTTTTCTTTCAGCAGTTCCATAAATTGATGATGAGTCATACCATTTGCAGAATTGATATTGCTTCAAGAGAACTCACATCAGATTCCCCAAGTATGAGAAAATAACTTCATGACATAATTCTATTCTGGGAGGCGGTGTTATATAGCGAAAGAGAGTTAGAGCTTTCACACCAGGGTTTTTCTTCTCAACTCCACTCTGCCATCAGGGCAACTTTGACCAAATCCCAGAGCTTCCCTGAGTTTCAGTCTCCCACTCTGCAGAAAAGGCCTTCTACCACCTTCCTCACTATGTTACTGGGGCATTAATTCAGTTGATTTAGTTAAGAGCCCGTGGTTCACTTCCTGCCACACAGTTAATAAATGCCATTTGGCTTCCTCTGTCTCGCGGCATCTTTCAGAGAACGTCCTATCTGAATTAACTCTGGGGAATTTTATTCATGCTCTCTCTGTTCACCAGCAGCTGATAAAAAGTTCTAGACTCCCAACATTTACTTTCTTTCTCACTTTACATTGTACCACAGCAAAAACACACATTCTAGCATACATTCACTTATGTGTAAAAACATTGTATGAAATGTCTAGCCATACTTGTCTGATGGGTGGGACTCCACAAAATACCCAGCAAAGGGACAATAAATTCGGGGTTGCAGGTCCTTCACCAGCTGAGCCTTGTAGTTCAGGAGCTTCTTCCTTTCTGTTTTAATGAACTGGGCTTTCCATTCCTCTGAAATGACAGGATTTGGGTTAGAGGTTCCTCTGTTCAGAAATCATTACAAAGCAAATGTTCTAATAACCTAGAACTTGTTCAGGAGATAAAACTGATGGTTAACTAAAGCAGAAATAGAACAAGTTCTGTGTTGTTAGTGAAGGATACTCCCTAACTTCATTTGGAGATTTTGCTTGGTTATTAGGAAAATGTTAACAGACCAACCAAAGGTAATGAGCTCTCTCCTTATTTATGGTAATTTGTTTTGGACCCTCGCTGAATACACAGGTCAGCCAGCATAGTTATAGCTGTGTGCAAGCACATTTTAAAAGACTGTAATTCTTATAATTATTACCCTTTTATTGACACATTGTTGACTATTATTTTAGTGCATGATAAAAGTCAAACATATCTATTATAATCTGACAATACACAGTGACTAAGAGCATACAGTTGGGAGTTAGTCATACTTAGGATCAAAGCCCTTCCCTACCACTTACCAGTGGTACAGCATAGGGCAAACTACCTAACCTCTCTATGTCTATTTCCTCCTTTGTTAGGTAGGCACTCTACCACTTGAGTCATGCTACCAGGCTGTTTCCTCTTTTGTAAATGGAATCACAATGACTACCTCACAAGGCTGTTCTTTCTTCTTTCTTTCTTTTTCTTTCTTTCTTTCTTTCTTTCTTTCTTTCTTTCTTTCTTTCTTTCTTTTCTCTCTTTCTTCTCTTCTCTCTTCTCTCTCTCTCTCTTTCTTTCTTTCTTTCTTTCTTTCTTTCTTTCTTTCCTTCTTTCCTTCCTTCCCAAATATTTACTGTATACCTACTGTGTGCTAGATATATTCATGTGCACTAGGAATACAGAAGTGAATAGGACAAAGCAGGTCCTTGCTCTCATGGAGCACTTGCTCTAGTGAAAGAAACAAACAATTACAAGTAAATAAAGTCATTGTGAAGAGTAATAAGCTATAAAATAAAAGAGGCCAACAGGATAGAGAGCACCTGGAGTGAGATAGGTGGAACTGAAACTTGTTATTAGACAGGTGTTCAGGGAACAGATGGCAGTTGAGTTGAGAAAAAAGGTTGCCAGGCATGTGGAGTTTAGGGGCAAAAGGACTTTAGGGAGTGCAACAGTGAATGCAAAGATATGGGGCAAGAAGGTACTAGATGTGTCAGGCCTAACAAAGAAAAAGCAGGCCCATGTGGGCTGATTGTAAGTGTGCATTGGGAAACAGGCAGTAGAGGAAATTGAGGGATTAGGACAGACTGAACGTTATAGGGCCCAGATCAAAGAGCTGTTATGATCATTATTGCTGTGGAAATCTAACAAACACAGACAAGGTCATAGGAAAAAATAAAAGTTACCTATAACCCATATACGATTGTTAACATTTTGGTGTATTCCAGATTTTAAAATGTATATACATGCATGCACTCATTCATTCATTCATTCATTCTCTCTCTCTTTCTCTCTCTCTCTCTCTCTCTCTCTCTCTCTCTCTCTCTCTCTCTCTCACACACACACACACACACACACACACACACACACACACACAAATACCCACACAAGAATGAGATTATGCTAGTTAATCTTCAGTAAGTGTATTTTGCCTCCCCAGTCACACTGTTAACTCCTTAAGGACAGAATATTCCCTATCTTTCGCACTGTGGGAGGCAATGAATATGGACTTATGGAAGAAAGCAAGGAACTAGGTAGAGGCTATCTTCTTTCTGTAAGGCATTTTCTGCCACATTATTACACAGGGATCACTTACCAAACATCATCACTTATTAACTAGAAATATTGAGTGCTTACAATGCTAGTGTGAGAATGAAATATCTTACACACTTCCTCATGTCAACCCTAATTCCACTCTTGGACCCAGGGCAGATGGACTCCTGCCTGGGACCACAGACTTCAGAGGACCTTTTGCTGGCTGTGTCACTACTTTGTTGAGCATTCCACAGGACCAACAGGATGTGCTCCTGTTGAATGGCACACATTTCATTCTGGACCATATTCCAAGAGCATTTTACCCTGAGTTACCAGTTTCATACCTTCCCTGTCCTGCTTCATGGACCACACCATGAACTCACGTGTTTCCTTCATGCTCTACCATCACATTTTGAGTGTAAACTTTAGTTCATAAGAGCTACAGCTTATAAGCCTGGTTTCCTTTTAAGACTGTAAGCTTCTTATGGGGAGGAACCAAGTGTCATCACTGATGTTTGGTAACACTTTGATATAAAATATTACCAGTAAATTTTCCACCACTGAAAGTCATTGGAAAGCCTGATGCTCCTCCTGCAAAATCACTCATCATTAGAGCAACTTTCTCAGGCAGTCTTCCTCCATTGGGTCTGGTGCAGTCTACTGTATTGAGTATTTTATGACCTGTGAAGAAACAAAAAGTGTGAGTATTCAAGGTGAAATTTTGAATACCACAGTTTGAATGCCCAAGCCATCAAAGTCTTCTATTTAGTCTGTATAATCTGACTTGTTTGATTATAGAATATGTCTATGGAAAAGCAGAGAGTAAGATTTCAAAATACAAAGTATTCAGTAGTATATTCTGAATTTTCAAGTGAATACTTTTGTCCCACTTAACTAGGTGGATTCTGGGTGACTCATGGATATAATTAGCTTGATTCCACTCTAGATTATAGATAGACTGCGTTCTTCAACCAACCATCTCAGATTTTGAAGCAAAACTTTCCAAGAAAGAATGATTAGATGAACACAAATTCCTCTGTCTTTTACAATTCCTTTGCAAAGTTCATTTTCAAATGACGGGAGGGGTAAGACCACACTGTCATATGAAAGGCAGAAGTGTACAATAAGATTACTAGATAATGTTTTAAGATGAAAGCAACTGATGACATTTATTCAGTAAAAATAGTTTTAAAGAAGTCACTCTAGGAGAAATATGAAATATTGGCTTCCTTAATGCTAAAAGCTTTGTATTATATAATACATTACTGTGATCATATTATTAGTATTTTGTCTAGAAAGAGTATCTGAAAAATTGCTCATTTTCTGAGGTAAGGATATAATATAAAATAATCTCTGAAAATGAATATAGAAGATGAACAGAGGATGAAACTTCAGATGGCTATTACTATCTTTTCTACCCAGAGTATTTTTCGTCTTTCATTGTTGATGAGGATAAAAAAGTACCTTTGTACTCCACAATAATGCAAGTGTCCATCTCAGGATGAACGCCATCCATCAAGATCATGAATCGAAGATTTTTGTCTACCTGGAATTTAACAATAAAATCAACAACTCCATTTGTTCTTTAACTCAATATTTGAGAAGTTCAATTCTGATAAACTGGACAATTAGACCTTAAGTTTGAAAAAAAAGCCCTCTTATTTGGAGCTGAATATATTAGCTTGTCTTATAGTGTTATACCATTGGTAAATGGAAGGAAAACCATCTTTTACTACATAGTTATGTCTAACATAACTAAAGGTTATATAATAAAGGTTGTATCTACCAAGTACCGTGTACTATCAACATGGGCCATTTCCCCCCTTTTTGTTTAGGTGACTACTTCATCTAAAATTCACCTCAGAAAGCATAAGTGGGAAACACAGGAAGAAAACAGATTCCTGACCTGCTGCCATACTCCAAATGGCATGACATTGATATTAGTTAACTGGACACCGCTCTGATCCAGATTCCAAAACACAGGTCTTTCTGTGTCACCAACATAAATGGGAATATCTGGTCTTCTTGCAGAAAGTTTCTTCAGTGTGGGATAACTAGGATCAGAAGGATAGAACAGTTGAAAAATGAAAAACTAAGATTATATAGTACAAGAGACAGTTTCTTCCTTAAACCAATGCGTTGACTGAAAAGCAAGAAGTTGAAAATAGACTCTTAACAGAGTCCAGAGAGGAATTTCTCCTCAAGGGTGGCTCTAACTTTCTAGGAGATTTCTCTTTATTGTTAGAACATAACATGTACCGTGGAGTGTACGCCAGCCAGGTGTGCAGGTTTCATGTTCCACACTGATGCTGCTTTTGAGTAGGGGGAGCTCTAGTAGAAGTCACAGAGCAGAAAAAGCCATGCTGCAGAGACTGTTGGCAATGAAGCTTTGCACAATCTTCCCTTCCTCTCATTCCCAAGCTGTAGCTCCCAGTAAGAAAGAGAACTGCGATACAGTACAGGACAAGAGGAGCCTGAATGTCACCACCATTTGGGCAAGAGATGGTTTTTCAACCTTTAAAGGTTGATACCCACACTTTGATTTGCAGATACATTATCTATCCTTAAAGGAGGATCCAAGTTATCAACTGGGCAAGACAGTAAGACTTAATGCAGAGGAAAACTGCATCCAATATTCATAGTAATTCCAACTCAGTACATAATCAGTCACTCAAGTACTTTCCAATACCTACATATATGAAGTCAACTTTCATTTATTGAGCATTCATGATATAAAAGGATTGTTATAAACAACTGTGGGACACAGTAGAAAGGATAGTATTATAAACAAGTGGAGGTACCATTATATTTCAAATATATACAAGTGCCAGGCATCATCACATATATTACTTCATTCTCATAAAAAAAGCACCGAGGTGTCTTGGTTTTGTAGACAAGGAAACATATTCAAAAACATACAACAAATAAAATATTGGTATTTAAATTTGAGTTTTCTGATTCTAAACCTAGTGCTACTTCTTTTAGAAAATAGTTTCTAACTTTCTACTTTAAGAATCAAGCTAGCAGGTTGAGCATAATGTCCAATGAAATAAAACATAGTTGTAAGAAAAGTATGAACAAAATCTATATATCAGTACTTATCAACTGTACTAATATTTACAGTATAATACAGTTAAAAGTTCTTCAAACATAAATAATCTGGTGGTAGTGGGATGGGAAGTTCAGTAGGTTTTTGTTCCCAAAACAGAGATTAAAAACTCAAGGATTCTTTAAACATATCTTTAAATTTCTGAGTTCAGTAACTAAATCTTATGTCTTAGAAGGCTTTGGGAGTTAGGATAAGTTACTAAAAAAAACAAAGGGATATTTTTTGCTTTGTCATTTTATAATTGCTGACAATTTTCTTTTTTTATTGTTTTTTTATTCATATGTGCATACAAGGCTTGGGTCATTTCTGCCCCCTGCCCCCACCCCCTCCCTTACCACCCACTCCGCCCCCTCCCTCTCCCCCCCACCCCCTCAATACCCAGCAGAAACTATTTTGCCCTTATTTCTAATTTTGTTGTAGAGAGAGTATAAGCAATAATAGGAAGGAACAAGGGTTTTTGCTGGTTGAGATAAGGATAGCTATACAGAGAGTTGACTCACTTTAATTTCCTGTGCATATGTGTTACCTTCTATGTTAATTCTTTTTGATCTAACCTTTTCTCTAGTTCCTGGTCCCCTTTTCCTATTGGCCTCAGTTGCTTTTAAGGTATCTGCTTTAGTTTCTCTGCGTTAAGGGCAACAAATGCTAGCCAATTTTTTAGGTGTCTTATCTATCCTCACCCCTCCCTTGTGTGCTCTCGCTTTTATCATGTGCTCAAAGTCCAATCCCCTTGTTGTGTTTGCCCTTGGTCTAATAATTGCTGACAATTCTTATTGACATCTATTAATTTCATCTATTACAATACTATGTTTACATAATAAAGTCACATTTCTTTGAATAAAGATTATTCACTATAGTACCTTGACTTTCCCGTTTTAATTCAGGGAAGTTTGATTCAGTAAGTAAAGTCCAGACATGAGGTCTGGGGGCAAATGACCTCCATATTTACTAGTTGACTAAGAAAGAGTCAAAAACTAAGGGTCTATCAAAGAAATGAGTAAAAATGATCAGCTTTTGCAACGTTTCAATGGCAACACATTGTACAAGCAATGTGCTGTGATACTGTAGTTGAAAACTGGTGTTTTAGTGCACGACGACTTTGCCCACACCAACCCGAGACTAAACCTACATCGACTATTGGGCCAGCGGTTAAAGAGTGACTTGACCAAATGACATTAACAGTTCCATTCCCCACCCGTTTAGTGTCTTCCCGTAGAATATTGCTCATAAGTGGTTGCATTTTACTGCAGACACCATAAAGTAATTGCCTCATTTACATGATGTTGTTATTCCTATGCCATAACAAGCTATACAAAAGTGCTATCCCACGTTGCAGTTATATACTCTCATGAGCCCAAAGTTAACGCAAATTTGGTTCCTGGAGCTTCTGTGAGACAAAGGTATCATGCTCAATAGACGAAGATTTTTAATTGTGGTACCCCAACACCTTAGTGGGTGGTGATCAATGAAGAAGTGTGTTGCAGGTAATTTGTTACTGAATCAATTAATTAAAAATGTAAACCACTTCCTTAAAAAACAAAAATAAATCAGAACATATTCATGCCTTCAGGTTTCTATAGCTTTAGAAAAGAAAATCAGGGACTGGTCAACTAAGGACCAATGTTTTATCCTTAATCATGGACATTTTTTCTTTTTGGCAGTACTGAGGCTTGAACTCGGGGACTCATGTCTGCTAGGCAGGTGATGTACCACTTTAGCCAAACCTCCTGCCCTTTTAGCTATAGTTATTTTTTAGATAGGGTCTCTCATTTTTTTCCCCAGACTGGCTTCAGACTACAGTCCTCCTCCTTCTGCCTCCCAGTGGCTGGAACCACAGGCATGCTCCACAACATCCAGTTTGTTGATTGAGATGAAGTCTTGCTAGTTAGTAAGGTGGTGGGGGGAATCCACTGGGCTGGAGTAGAACCTAATTCCTCTCAATTTCCATCTTCCAAGGACCTGGGATTACAGGCATGAACCACCATACCCAGCTCACCATGAACATTTCTATCCGTATGCCCTACATGAAAACTTTTTCATGTAGGGTCAAACAAAAAGTGAAATTGTTTTTTTAAAAATTGTGGGCATTGACATGTGCTTATCTTGACAACCCAGAAAAGTAATAAAAACTTCCAAACAATGATGAAGAAACATGACCCTCTGATTAAGCAAAGGAATTGGGTCTATGATCCTCCATCTTCTGACAATTCAGTTCATTTGCTAAACCATCTGTGATGACTTAACTGAAAATCCTTTCTCCCTCCTTGTTGATTATCTGAGTTAGGGAATTTTCAGTACATCAGCAGTATCACAGCGGACTTGGAAGATAATATTTTATGATATGTGAAAACGATGTGGTATTCAAATGCCATTTTCTGTGGATAAAGTTTTATTGGAAAAGTAAATCTCATTTTCAGTTAAGACTGCCTGTGGCTGCTTTTGTTCTATAGTTGAGTTACTTACAGCACTAACTGTATGGCTTTTAAAGCCTAAAATATTTATACTGGCCCTTTATAACTTTACTGTTTATTTGTTTTTGACACAGGGTCTCACTATGTAGCCCAGTCTGGCTTTGAACTTGAGATCCTTCTGTCTCACACTCCTGGGAGCTAAGATCACAAGTCACGCCTACATGCTCAGCAACACTGGCCCTTTATGAAAATGTGTGTTGATTCCTGCAATAAGTGCTGAGCTGAAAAAAATAAAGCTCAACTTCAATGATCCTTAAGCTTGTTCTTGTGCCAAGTGGCCTGAGGAGAGGAAGTGAGAGCAAATATTAACACAGCCCTCCTTCTTACAATGGCTCCTTTTTCACTGCCAATGGTGTAAAGTGTGGAAGCACTTTTGAAATAGAAATTGCTATTTAAATGCAAATATTTATCTTTTACTAGTCTTCTCATTATCTTAACTCAACCTATTTCAAATCAAGTATGATTTCAAAAGAATCTGAAAACACTCTATGACTTTACTGCAGCATTGTTTTAAGAGTTGGTTCAGGGTTCATTACCTCAGGTGATCTGAGTGCATGTGACTGATGTAAATTAGGTCTGCTTTGCACAACCTCTCCAACCAATCAGATGGAGGTTCATGTAGCAACCACCATCCTCGGGCAAATGCAGGACCAATTAACCAAGGGTCAAATACCATCCTCTTGTCTCCCAACTTGAGGTCCATGCAGGCATGAGTAAGATATGTTATCTGTTAGAAGAGAGTGAGATTCCTATTATCATATTCTTACTGGTCATCAACAACAAAGTACACGGTTGGCCTGCTTCACTGACAAGCTAAGTGGAAAACTTTGCTCCTAAGCAAGCTTAAGCCAAATCCTGGACTCAACTACAACCCAACAGAAGTCTTAAATAGAACACAACTCCCAGCACAGACTATAATCTTCTTAGAATAGAAATTCTCATGGTTGTTTTTCAGTGTCACACCAACAGATTTATAGAGTTTTAATCTATTGAAATTATTTCCTAAACACTTACGTATGGTCTACACTGCAGGAAATCTTTTGTGACCAGTCCTTCAAAGCACAGTTCATAAGGAAAAGTAACACTGTTATGACAAGTATTTGAGGATTTAAATGCTGGCACCAGTGTGTCTGTGAAGAGGATTGTGAATGAGTGAGTTCCAATGAGTTTGGTGGGTTGGCATAGCCAGGTATACTGGAGTGACAACCAGCTAAACAGGCTTGCAGCTTTCTCTTCTAAAATTACATGCTAATTCATTCCTTCAAGATGTCAAAATCCTCTAAGAATAGCTACAAACAAGGATTTACAGACAGACACTGACAGGAGACCATTCCTCATTTGCTGATCCATAGAAAAAGAATGCATGGAGAAGCAGAGATGATAGGGTAACAGGAACTCCAGTGTGAAAAGTCAGTAAAGTAGGTGAGGAGAGGTCAAAAAATCAAAATAGTTTTCATTAAGCCATTTTTAAGTGGGTTTCCATAACAAAGTAACTGCCCAAATATACACAAGCTTCCCAAATACACAGAAAAATTGTTGCTTGCCTATCTCTCCAAAATTATTAGTGTTTCTTCTGAAGGAAACTCTCTTGTAAAGCTGGAAATATGCATTAAGGTTTGTAAAAGATATTAGGGCAAGATGCAGAAATATACAAGTAGTAATTTGCTATGGTTTGGATGTGGTTTGTTGCTTAAAGGTTCATGTTTTGGAAGCTTGGTGCCCAATGCAGTAGTGTAGCAAGGTGTTGGGACCTTTAAGAGGTGAAGCCTTGTGAGAGGTGATTAAGTCACTAGAGGCATTGCCCTCAGCAGTGAGTAATGTAGGATCAGTCTGTTTCCTTTGAGATTGGCACCTCTCCTGAATCCCTCTTCTGTATGTGCTACTTGCCACTCCCATACATGCTCCAGCCATTGCGATTCCATCCACTATGAAGCCCTCACCTGAGCTGAGCAGATGCCAGCCAATGCCATGCTCTTGAAGCTCCATTACTGTGAGCTAAATCAACCTCTTTTTCTTTTATAAACTACCGAGCCTCAGGAATTCTGTTATGAGCTATAGAAAACAAATGAATACACCATTTTTCTGATGGTGATATGGCATTGAGTAATTTCTGAATTTCTTTCAATATTTTTACTTGACTCTCCACTAGGACTTCCTCTAAAGTTTTATATTATTTTTATTATAAATTTTATAAATTTATAATAAAGAATATTATAAATTTTATATTATAAAAGAATATTATAAATTTTATATTTCCTTACCTGCACTTCCCCAAAAGCCAAATCTTCAGGAGACCTGGGATCTGAATCCCAGGGATTAGGAGGATTCAGTTCTATAAGTACAAGTCCATTGTTTTCATCCATCTCAACAACTAGAACCAAAGGAAAATAAGCCTGGGTTAGTAACAAAAATGACTTTAAAAAAAAAAAGTGTCACTGAAACAGAAAAGTGAGACCCAAATGTATAGTTTCAAAAATTTTTTTAAATGAAATAAAAAGCAATACTCTCTTGGGTCAAACAATACGTGCTGAGACAACAGCTTAAGATGGATGAATTATTTCCTTCTTCATATTACATTTAAGCACCACAGAAGGGACACACACAGAGAGCTTCATTATAATGAAATGATTGATAGAATGAGTTCAAGGTGCTATGAGCTTATACTGGAAGGGATGTCAAATCTGCTTACAAAAGCTAAGCAAACTTTAGATAGGAACAAATCCTTCAGTTGTACTTGAAAGATGAGATGTTTGGGACAAACAAGAAATATGAGAGGTAAGGCAAAAGGAATGAGAGGACAGCATGCTTGAAGTCATGAATGCATAGGAAAGTTTGGTATCCACAAAGTCCTTGGTAATTTATCAGCTAGGAAATTGGTGTTTGCAGGTAGGATATCCAGATTCATCCGAGTAGGTCATAATTTTAAACAATTATGGCAGATACTGCGGTAGTCTTCATGAAATCCACTGTCTTCTTCCTAACTATAGGATTCTAATTTTATTAAGAGTGGCAGGCTCAACCCTTCTCAACAAAAGGTCACTACCCTCCATGTTGCACTCCTCCTTGTCCCCACCCAGTACTGTTCTTGGACATTTCCTCTTAAGGTCATTTCCCTCTTTATGATAACAACTGCAGTTGTAAATTTCTCTGTAGTTGTAAATTTCCCCAAAAGATGAAAGTCATTTGACTGGTTCAGACCAGAAAATGGTGCATGCTCAGTAAAGGGAAACCTGTCCTCAAGCTGACTTTTTCAGTAAGGTGCTCTACTTTAGATCTTATGAATATTGGTTGCATCTCATATGTGCAATTAAAAACCTGGGAATTGGCATATGCAGAATGCCCCATGTTATGTAACAAGCCCTTATCAATCAAACATGTCGATTACCTTAGCCCACAAATACTGCCCAGATTTTCCCTGCTGTTTGCCCTTACTACTTATAAATTGCCCATTGAACAAAGACTGGTGCTCTTGAGCCATCTGGCCAGAGCCCACTGCTCTCTTACAGTGTATCCTTCTGCCTATACTTTCCTTTCTCTTTCAATAAAACTTTGCCGCTGATTTACAATCTGTGTGTCTCCATCCAATTCTTTATTTGGGAGATAAAAAGAAACAGATCTTCTAGACTACCCACTGGTCACAATATGTCTATCTATGATGCACCTATCATGACTTCCCAGGCCCCCTTGCAATTATGAGTGACATTAGACATAGCTTTTGTATATCGTATGCATAGCTCTGGCTAGTGAGATATGAATACAGTCTAGTAGTAGGATCTCCAGGAACACTTTTATTTTCCTGACAAAGAGGAACAAATTCAAAAGGTGTGCACTATTTCCCTGCAATATTTCCCTTCTCTCATTTGGAGGTTGACTGCTGTGTCTGATGGAACAGAAACTTATCCTGAGACCCTGAAGGAAAAGAGCCACATACTAAGGATGAACAAGCAGAGTGATGGAAGGATCCTGGATCCTTGAGAAAGCAGATAACAACCATAATTCCCAAGATAGACTGGCTTTCCAGCTTCTTGTGATATGAGATTCTTAGTAAAAGAACCTCTTATATGATTGGGCCACTGTTATTTGGGTGTTCTGTTATAGCCAAAAAGCAATCCCTAATTAATACAGTAAGAGAGTAAAAAATAAAGTGAGAGCCATGAGGAGGATCAGTTGGTGGGAGCATGACCATATTCAGAGCTCTCACTGAGTGTTGGGAGTGTATCAGCAAAGCACTGATTGGGCTGGGCTTGGGAGAAGATGGCTTTGTCTGGAACCTGTACTTTCTCACTTAAAATCTGGGTGACATGAGACAAGTTACTTAATTTTTCCATTCTTTAGTGTTCTCATCTTTAACCTTAGCCTCTTCCCAGAGTAATTAATCATTGATAGGATTCATTAAATGTTTTTAATTAATTGATCATTGTCTCCCAAGGTTATATCTGGGTCACATAGCCCCCTCTTTCTCAACCTAAGCACTGCTCCTGCTCAGACCTGGCACTGTAAGTTAGGAAATTTAAATATAGGATTATCTCAGTATGAATGAAAAATAAAATGTATTATTCTATATTCATTCTTAAAAGAGTACTTGGAAAACTAGAAAGATTCCACCAGGTATCTTCCATTGATCCTTTCAGTTCCAAACTCCTCTAGGTTCTCTATCCTTGTCCAACCCACTGTCTGCTTCAGGAGGTCAACTCACACAGACCACATCAAACGGCCCCCTTTCCCTCTGTTTTCTAGATAGGTTTGGCCATCAAGAAGGCCCAGAATGGGACCAGTGAGAGAGCTCCTTGAGGTTTATTCTTCTGGCACTCTTCCTGGAAGGTCACTGCATCCTAGCTGGGCACCAGTGAATGAATTATGATACATACTTCATATAATTATGGGGATTAAGTAAGATAATGAATCCTAAAGTGTCTAGCCATGCCTCATACAGAGGAGGCAATTAATAAAGAGTAGCATTATGGCAATTATTTTACATTAAAAGAATGAATAGAGTTAAGAAGAATGTTCATTATAGGACATCAAATTAATGTCCAAGCATGGAAAACACAATGGTGTTGTGGGAGACTCCCAAAAAACTTTTGCTCTGATAATCCACTCATAGAGACTTCCCTTCTTCCTAATTTTTCTCTCTTAAGAAGTATAAAAGAAAATAAGAATTTGCAACCCTCAACTATTCCTCTAAAGCAAGTATCATAAATACCTTCATGTTCCTTGCACAAAGATAAATTGATATAGTCAGTGAGGAATAATGTAACGCAACATCCATCAACTCCAGACTCTATAAATAATGAGAAAATGGTATTCTTAGTTTGACCTCAAGAGCTGATAAAATGTGGGTCACTGAGTTACAGTTTAATACCCAGAAAAAATAAGCAAATGACATTCTTTATAATCTTTATTAAGGAAAAATAATGAAGGAGAAATCAGAACAAAAACAATAAAATTCTAATAACTAAGTTATGGATTATTAGCATTAGGACAACAAGAAGTAGATCCTAGCTATACAACTGCTTAAAAATTGCTTAATATTTTATAAAGAAGGTATCATACATTGGTGAGCTATCTAATAAATGGTTCTGTGACAATTAGTTTACTAAACTTTGATTGGTTAAAGACACATAGGAAAGATACCAAGTCATTAAAATGTATGATAAAATCGAATATCAAATCTAAGAGTGGACTTTTAAGTTTAATAATGGAAATTATTCCCATGGAAAATCTAAATAGATAACAATGTAAAATGAAAAAGTTCTAACACCAGAACAAGTTGGCAAACACATCTTGCCAAATGGCAATTAATAAAGCATTAGCATCATATTTGAAAGATAAGTACAAGTAAAAACAAGACACATTTTTTTGTCTAAAATTAGAATTATCTAAGAGACTAAGAATGCCCTGCTAGTAAAGGTTCAGGGAGAAAAGACATCCTTATACACTACTGCTGGAAGGAAAAAAATTCATGAAATGCATAGTAATGCAATTCATACTAGATATACTGGGTTCTAGCCTCAGTACCACAAGGAAACAAAAATCATCCAGTCAACCAAACAAACAAACAAACAAAAACTTTATTGCCAGGCATGGTGTACAAGCCTGTAATCTCTGCACTCAGGAGGCAGAAGCAGAGGATTGCAAGTTTGAAGCCAGCCTGGGTTTCTTAATGAGACCTTATCTCAAAAAAAAAAAAGGTATCAAGTAAAAAAGGGTTTTGTTCATATCATATTTTTCAGTTCCTAACATATTTTGTTATTTTGTCCATGCAAACCTTTTCTCTTGGGCTGGCAGAGTGGCTCAAGTGATAAGAGTGCCTTCCTAGAAAGCATGAAACCCCAGTTCAAACCCCAGTGTTGCCAAAAAACCAAACCAAAACAAAAAAAACCACTTCTCTCTTTTTTAATTGAATAATTCCCATTATTTCTACTTCCCACTCATATTTCACTTCCTTAAAAGGTACGATTTTGAATATCTGTGTATATTATGTATGTGTATTTTAAATTTATATAGTATTGGGTCTCCAGTCTGTTTCTTAATCTTTTTCATTCATTATGATCTTAATGTATTTAAATGATTTAAGGTACAGCTACATTGCCACATGTACAGCTAGCCCACCCCTAGCTGCTGTTGAGTATTCAGTGTCCAGTATATTATAATCATTCACTCTCAGGAGGGGGACCCCCACAGTCTGCCATAACAGAGTTTCTTTGGAATGAAAATCAGAATGGAATTTGTGGATCCTGGTATGTTTACAAACCTCACCTGATTAACATGGTGAGATAGTCCATGGTCAGACAGTCCTCCAGAATGGCTACACGAGCCACACTCACATGCATGAAGGTCTCTATATCCCTGAGAACCTCATCTTAGTTTCTAACCTTTAACCAGTAGCAATTTTTCTGATTACAGAGTTCACAATTTTATGATTTAAATGAGTTTCCTAAATATTTTCATATGTTTAGTAGTCCTTGGGTTTCTGCTAGTTCCTGTCTTTTTTTTTTTTTTGGCAGTGCTGGAGTTTTGAACTCAGGGCCTCACACTTGCTAGGTAGGTGCGCTACCACTTGAGCCACTCTGCCAGCCCTGAATTTCCTATCTTTTCCTTGTCAATTTGCATTAATTCTTACTATATGCTTAATGTTAATCCCTGGTTAGTCATAAATGTTGCAAAATAATATCCCCACTACCATCTGTCTTAATTTTGCCCATGGTGCTCTTCATTAGTAGAAATCACTAGTACTGATTGGATCATATTTATCAATACTTTTACTGATAATGATTATTATTTTCCTCTATGCATTGTACTTTTGAAGTGCTACCTGAAGAGTCAAGAAGTACCACCCCATGTGCTGGTGGAGAGGCTCCAGTGGTAGAG